GCATGTGTCCCTCAACCTGGAGCTAGAAGGTGGGTGAGTATTTAGGAGGTTAAACAACCCTCCAGCCCAGGGGTCTAATCCCTGCCTGTTTCTGCTCGTAAATACAAACAAGCAAAAACACACACACACACACAAAAAAAAAAAAAAAAATCTCAAGTGAGTTTTTATCAATAGCTTGAGCTGTTTTGCACTGGAGATCCACAGAAAAATGTTCAGCTAACTTTTTATCTATTTATTTTGAGGGCTTAGTGGAAGCAAAGGCGGCAATAAGAGATGCTCCAGCAAGTTTTATAGCTCATTTCTGAAAATTACAAGCTCTGGAAATTTCGGATGTCTAGCCAGGACCTGGCTGTTTATCTCACCTGAGCCTCCAACCCCCACGAGGTGCTCCCAGTGTTAATTATAAAATGTTGGTCTGTACTCAGTGATGGAGAAACGTCCAGAGGAGCCCAAAAGGGGACAAGCAGCGCTCAGAGGGGATAAATAAATAAAGAGATAAAAGAGAAAACTCCAACCTCCCTGGAGAGGTAATAGGCTTAGCAGGCCTGCTTGACACATGTCGGATGAAATAAAATAAATAAATAACCGAAAACATCACCGTTGGTAAGAAGATTAGCTTGAACGTGGGGAAATTTCTCTAGGGACTGTCTGTGGCCAGAGCCAGCAGCTCCCAGGGCCTTATCAGAGCCGTGAATTCCCCCTCCCTGCCCGCAGGGGTGGCGATGGGGAGCTGGGGACACATCTGCGGGGGCACCTCGATTGTCCCCATCCCCGTCCCCAGCTCGCCCGCTGGAAATAACGCGAAGTGACTGCCCAATTTGTGAGTGCCGCCCCTCCGGGAAGAAGGCCGGTCCCTGGGCAGCAGATTATCCTCTGGTTTATTGCAGCATTGTCCCGAAACAAATCCTGTGAGTGCCTGCCTGTAATCGTTTTTCCCTCCGTGCGGGCAGACCTCTCCGCACAGACCCCGGGCTGAGCTTGAGGCAGCGGCGTGGAGCGGGGTGAAGCCCCCTCTTGGCCTTGCTGCTGGGGTTTCCACCTGCAGCATGGCTGAAAAAAACAAAAGACCCGTGTGGTTTTCATTGTTTTAGAGAAAAAATTGAGCTTTAAGTGTCTGAAGATGCGAGTGTAGGGGAGATAAGGGGCTGGCATGCGCTCCCCTCGCTGTGCTGAGAGCAGGATGGGTGCTGCTGACATCAGCCTGGAACTGGGGTCATTTGGGGGATTTTGGTGATGTCCCCAGGGGTGCTTGTCCAGCAGCTCCTTTCCTCCCCCTCACCCCATCTCCCTGAGTGGGCTCTGCGCCACAACCCTAATTTTCCCTTCCCTTTTCCCCGTTTGGCAGGAGCAAGCCCCACTAGGAATTGCTGCCTGGCCATCAATAACTGCTCCAACGAGGGCTGCCTGAGCTGGTGGCCGGGCTCCATTCCTGCAGAGTGCACTTTTATTTAATAAAACGGCGCTGCATACAAATGAAAAGGTGTGCTGGGCTCGCTTCTCCTACCTGATATTTACGGCTGGAAATAGGAGCATTTATTTGGCCAACGCGTATTAAAGGGGCTGTGCAAACCTTATTTTCTTTGTTACAGACCTGGCTCGTGACTCGGAGCTCAAAGCTGCTCACCTGGGAGCTGATTTCTGGGCAGAAGTGACCTTATTTTAGGGAGAAAAGGACCTCCTTGCCTGGATGAAAGCCTCTCGCCATCATAGCCACCGTGTTCCTAAGGGGTTCAGATGAAGCTCACAGGCCACGAGGTAAGGCTGGAGATGGAAAAACCTTCTCATTTTGCTCCCCAGCTCTGGGCTGTCTGGGAAATCAGCTAGAAGGCAGTGTGCTGGCGGGTTGTACCCATAAAACCACATGTCTTAAAAAGGGACGCATTATCTGTTTTAAAGGAATAAATGAGTAGAAAACCTCTGGGTCTTTTCCGAAGCAGCCATTGGGAAGAAAGCTTTTCATCTCCTTGCTGGAAGAGAACTAGGAAATTAGCTGCTAACCAAGCATTCCTCTCCCACTTTTTAGGAAAAAAAAGATATCTGAATGGTGTCTGAATGGTCCTGAGCTCCTGGCACCAGGGTGGGATGCTCCAGTTGGAGGGCTCTTCTCTATCCCTGCGTTGAGGTGTTGGGATTTGGACACGGTTGAGATTTGGGAGGTGCCCTAATGCTGCTGGTGGTGTGGTGGCAAACTGAGCTTGGCCAGGCAATTTGTTCTGAGGAAGGTTTGTGTTGGTTTTAATTAATACCAAGGAAAAAAAAAAAAAAAAAGAGTGAGAACATAACATCAGCTGGGACCCTGCTATGTCTGACACCTCCATCCTCCCATCCTGACACTGCCTAGCCAGCCTGTCTGGCTTTTTTTGATGTTTTTGATGTTTCTGTCTCTAAACGTGATGGATAATTAAGGCTGGGCTCCTGCTGGGTGCTGGGTACCGCACCCGGGGGATGCGCCACGCCGGGCACGTTGTGGGATGCCCAGGGCTGCCTCAGCAGCTCAGGAAATAGGTCTCCCTTCTCCACTGATGCAATTTCTTCCTCTTTTTGGACATGGTTATTCAGTCTTCTTCCTCAACATACCTCCTTCTGTTCCCTGACCTGTGCCTGCAGCTCGGCATCCTCCCCAGCTTCTCCTTCCCCACCTCGCGCCCTCCCCTCTGCTCCCCTCTCCCTGCCCTGCTCCCTCTCTCCTCCCTGCTCTTTGGGTCTCGCACATTTTGGAAATTCACATCCCATCTGGTCCCTGCCGATGTAGAGATATCGTATCGCAGGCAGGGCCCTCTCGGAGCCGCAGCGTTAATTAATGGTAATCCCTTAATCGCAGGGTTATGCCAGAGACCTCAGTGCCCAATTTGTCCCCTCCTGAGCAGCACCGGACCCGAAACAGCAAAATTGCCTGCCTGACAACAGGCTGGGCACCCGAGGTTATTTTCCTTCTGATTACCTACATGTATATTTGAACAACGAGGTATTATCATATTTTTTTTTCTTCTTGCTGTTGGCTGCCATAATCTGGCAAAAACACCTTTGCCACAATGAAAAACAAAAAAGAAAAATGATTTCTTTCAAAAATTTTAAAGGGAATCAGTTCTTGTCAGGATGTCTCTTTTTCTACCCTTCTGCCCTTCCCCCTGGCATCAACATTTTTATTCAGAAAGGGGCTGAAAGGCCCCTTTTCACTCGGACAACTTATCTCGTTTGATCTGGAATTTTCCTGAGCACTTTCATCCAGTCGATCAAAACTGCTCAGCTCTCCACTACCTGACATAAAAATGCCTTTTTTGTGTGTGTGAATTTTGTGCATGTCAGTTCTTCAAGAAGAAGTAACCGGAGAAAACATCACGATCGTGTAATTCCCACAGAAAACTCCTCAGAGCACCTCGCAGCCTCCCTAAGGATGCTCGATGCTTCCTTTTGGAGTGTTTTCTTTGCATGCTCTGGTGAAACCTCTTCCTCTGGTGCAGAAAATCAGACTTCTCCCCGAAACCCTCTCAGATAAAACCCTTTCTGCTGTACCCAGCACCAGGCAAGTGGCAAGGTGGGGCCAGCCCCTTCTCTTGCTGCCCAGCTGGGTGCAAGGAGGGATGGGCTGACAGGTGAGGCACATTGCACCCAGCTGCTGGGGGTAAAAAGGGAATTGGGGAGCAGCTCTGGGCTGATGAGGGGCTTTGGGGGAGGCTGAGGCTCTTCTGTGGTGTGCCTCTGCCCCTAGACTTGTGCTGGAGGAGCTCTGGGTCCGCTACAATTCAGGTTAATGCTTAGTAACTCTTTAAAATGTTTTTTTTTTTTTTTTTTTTTTTATATTTTCTTTACAAGAGCTAAAAAGCTCTCTGGTTTTGTACAGTTTGCCTTTTGCACCTTTCCTTTCCTGGGGAGGCAGAGCTTGGCTTCGTGCGAGCTGCTAAACCCACGCCAGCTTCTCCTTCTTCTTGAGGCTCAGATTTCCTTATCTCCTAGTGCTTGGAGCAACCTTCTAGCTCATGATGGGGAAAATGCCTGGGAAGATGTTGGCTGAAAGGGTTTTGGACTGCGTGCACAACAGCAGCAATCCTTTGTATGGAAAGGGAAATAGCAGAGGGGTATGGGTGCTCCGAGACGTGCTGCTGGGTGTGTGTGGTGGCCGTGATGTGGATAAAGCCTCAGCTGTGCTTAGCCTTGCTCTTATATTGCTTTGGATGGGTGAACCGGAAAAGGAAAGAAATGAAAAAGGAGTCACACATGCATAAAAATTAGGGATGGAAAAGACCTGGGTCACCTACTCAATACTTTCCTGCCACAGGATGATTGTTCCTGGGCTGAGAGCTCCACTCAGGCTTATGGCAGGGAATACATTAACCTTTAAAACAATGGCATTACAAAGTTAGATATTTTCTTTAACCCAGATGCTACAGTCCTGGGAAATACGAAGTGCAGGTTGTGCCTGAGCAACTGCTCCCCCAGGAGAGGTTTTGAGGGCTTTTTTAATTTTTATTTTTGCATGAAGGGGAGCTTGGCCTGCTGGAGTGCAGTTGCAAGCAGTATTAAAGTGGAGCACAGCTGGCCGGCTGTGCCACGTCCTGCCTTACCAGTCTGCCTTGGGAGCCCAGCTTTAGCTGCAGGAACAGCTCACGAGGGTACGGAAAAATTGCTGTTTTGCAGAGATGCTGTTGGTTTTCCAACATTTAGCCATAGGGTGGCTAAATGGTACTCCAGAGCTGAGCTGCAGAGGTCCTGGGTAATTCCATCTCCTGCTTCTGGCTCTGTGCTGGAGGGGGAGGACAGGGAGATCTTTCTTCATCTCTTCCCATTTCAAAGCAGGACGGAAAACATCAAGGGGCTGCATCTTGTTGAGTTTTGTCAGTGCCCATGAAAGCATTTGGACAGCAGCGATTCGCCTGTGGCTTTCAAAGGGGTGCCCTGAAATTTCCAGCAGCATTTCTGCCTGTGCTTCATAGGCAGGGAGAGGGGAACACCAAATTAGAGGAGCTCTGCCTGGTACCATTCTTGGTACAAGCAGAAGTAAATGAGATTAAAAGCAAAAACAAACAAAAAAAACCCACCCCAAATCCCACCCATATGTCTGGGAAAAGCCTGGTATGTTAATCCAGAGCACTCTGTCTCCCTACCTCATTCTGAAGTGGTCAGAAACCTTTCTAAAGGCACCAGGGTGGTCAGCCAGGCCTGATTTGGAAGCCACTCTTTAATTTTATTTTTTTTTCTCTTCCATTTGGGCTGTTGTCTGCTCCTTCTCCAAGTTGTTCAGCAAGATGCGACACAAAGGCACGGAGAGATGTATTGTTGTTATCGGTGGTTGTTGTTCCTAAGTCTCTATTGATTTTTATGAAAGAAATAATAACAACGTGTGTGAGGGATCCGGCTAACAAAAGAGGTCCTGCAGTACACATCTCGAATTAAATATACAGAAGCAGGATCCAGCTGGGATATTGACGGGCAGGCACAAAGCGGCGTGAGTCAGCGCGGTGCTGGAGTGAAGGCAGGACTCTGCCTCCACACCTTGCTACCAGAGCAGGTGCTTGGGACCCAGAGTAGCCCCAGCACATCTCACATTTTGGAAATAAAGAAAAAAAAAAAAGCCACGAGGAAGGAAAGCAAAGGGCAGACCTGGTCCTTGTGGCTGCTTGACTCCATTGACTCCGTGGCTGATGCAGCCCACGTAGGGAAGGAGGTGAGGAACCAGCTCTGGCATTGCAACCTCTCAACTTCATCTGCATTAAGCCAGCTCCAACACAGGGCTCAATCTCCATTTTCCCCTTTCTACCCTTAATTTTGCATGCCCTCACTTGTGGATGTAACCCACAAGTGAGACCTTTTTGCTGTGGTTCCCTGGTGGGAGCAGAAGCGACCTGACCTGACGTGAAAAAGCACCGTGCTCTTCGTGGCTCTGTGCCTGATGCCTCGTCCAGGAGGCCTGAGAAATTCAGACAAGGCTCAGGTAATCCCGTAATGTCAGAACTTGTCTCTCCCCTGACTTTACAAGGAATTCCTGAGCATAATATTGAATCACAACCGTATCTCTGCTCTTAAATCATTTCCCCTAGCAAAACATCACCCCGTAGAGGAAGTCCTTTCAGCGAAGACAAAAATGAAAGCGTTTATCGGTTTGAAAAGATCCCTCTGTGTGCCAGAATCAGTGAGAGAGAGAGAATGGAAGTGTTAGTGCCTCCGGCGATGCCTTTGCAAGGCTGTTTGTCATCCCAGCCCGAGAAGCTGAGCACACACAAATATTAAACTAATATTTTTGGCGCTTGGTGAGTTTTGATCGGCGGTTCGCGGCGCCTGAGGCAGCGAGCAGGAATGAGATGCAGTATCCTGGAGCTTCGTATTCGTGGCTGAGTTGACGCTCCTTTTATATTTATTTATAAGTATGTGTGACTCTTATTATTGCTATTTATCTCCAGTGTGAGAGAGGGAGATGCTAATGATAGCCAGTAGCAGCACCCACCCAAGACTGCCAAGTCAGGAAGCAAAACAGCAAAATAAAGTGTTCTGGGGCCTCGAGACCCTGCCTGCACCAAATTGATGACGCAGCAGGATTGTGCTCCAACGTGAGCAGGGAGCTGGCTGAGGATGCGCAGGAAGCCTCGTTTCCCAAATCTCCCTGCTTCGGGGTCAAAAATCCTCCTTCCTACCTAGGTACGGGCTGAAAACCAGCAAAAAAAGGAACCTGAGAGCTGGTTAATCTCCACAAGGTCGAGGTTGGTGCGGATGCTCCTGCAGGCAGTGGGATGGAAGCCTGTCCTGAAGTGGTGCTACCCGATGTGACTTTGAGGAGCTGGGTTGGTTTATTTTTTTTTATTTCTTTTTCTTTTTTTTTCTTGTACAAATGCAGAGGGAAAATAAACACGGCTGTCAACCCGTGACCCTTCTGAGCAGCCGAGGCCACCCCTCGTGCTCCAAATAGCCGCTGTCGGCTGAGATGTGCTTTGTGGGGAGCGTACAATTACGTGGGCTCTTTCAGCATCTGGGAGCGGTGTAAGCTGTTATTTTCTTGAGCGAGGAAGAGGTTGAGAGGTTCAGGAGACAACAGGCAGCTCTGCGAGGAAGCCACAGTTAACCCCGAGTTAAATTTAACTCCCTGGGAGCATCGGGAGCCTTGCGGCACACGAGGACGGGCACCCTCCTGCTTGTGGCCTCCTGCAGGGAGCTCCTCCGGCTCCAAGCTGCTTGGTACAAGGAGGTTTTGGGGCAGGAAGGAGCTGAATGCTAAAGAGGAGAAAGGACGAGAGGTTCCCTTCCCAGCCGTCTGCGAGGGTGACTCACCCTTCCCAAATTCCTGGCAGTTTCTCTCAGTGACCAGCAGCTCTAGCTCGCGTTGCTGATTCATAACTGCTGGAAGCTTCTCTGCCTGGGTTCGGGCTAGGAAAATTGATGTGTTGGCTCTGATCTCACAAGAAGTTGTCGTAGAGAGGGCAAGGGGCAGCCCGAGAGAAAGGAGGGAGGGCAGCAAGAGAAGATGTAGGGAGGAAGAGGTAAAAGAAGAGGAGGCGGTACCCAAGACGGAAAATGTGTTTGGATTTCAAGTGATGGGGAAAAACACGTAGCTGATCCCAAGCCAAGCAACTGAACAGCTTGATGTGGTGCGTGATGCACAGCTCTGCTGCCACTGATTTCTTATTGCGGCAGGGATATTAGTAATAAAATCAATAGCAATAGTTAGCGAGGCCTAATAACTACGCAGATTCAGGTCAGATTAGATTGATATCGCTTCTCCTAATAATCCACACTCGTTGCTGTCACGTGCTAGGTAGAAATAGATAGTGTCTTTAATTAAAAACAGGGGCTCCAGCACTTCTATTCACTTCGTCATAACTGGAGATGGCCCAGTCCTTACCCCAGCAATGCAATGTGTCCTGAAGGCTTTCTAAATGAGAAGAAGGCCTCCGTTGTTTCCTTGGAGCTGTTTCTAAAATAACCAAATGTTGTAACTCAAAGGTCATAGCACAAACACCGTCTTTGTCGGCGGGTGAGTTGGCTGCGTTGACCTCGGGTATTTTCGACTTGTGCGTGCTCCCCAGCCACCCAGCTGGAGGAACCAGCAGCTTGTAGCGTCCAGAAAGCTGGGTCTGTGGTGGGAGAGCAAGGAGAGGGGACTTGGCTGAGCTTTTGGGGACGTCCCCTGCAAGAAGACAAGGTGCCAGGGGGTGAGATGGGACCCAGGACCTGCATGGTGTCAGGCAGCAGAGCTTTGTCCTTGCCTGCCCTTGGATAAAAAGGGCGTTTTGCAGAGCTGAGCCTGGCTGCTGGGCTCAGCAGGCTGGGTTTGGCTGGCTGAGGAGCACGAGTTGCTGGCCTGGGGAGGCAGCTGATGGAGCAGCACAAAGGGTTCCTGACCCCAGAGAATCTCGAGACCATGGCAGGGTGACTCCTGGGGATGCTTCCCTTTGGATGATTATTACAAAAAGAAAAAGAAGAAAACACAAAACACCACTATGCCGCCAATGCCCATGCTCTGAAGCTGCTGGGAATGAAGCTCTGCACCGTGCAAAAGCCCCCAGACTGACCTTGCAGCAACTCCTGGTGTTCAGACATCAGGTGTCGTGTCTACGCCTCGTGCTGGGGCATGACCAGAGCCCTTCAGGTGTTCGTGCCAAAAAAATACACGTGTTGGAGCCCCTGCTTGCAGATGAGCTGGGTCAGGCTGTGGTCACCACCCCTTGCCCCGGCTCGAGGTGACGGCCATGCCCAGCAGCTCACCCCGGGGACCCGGCTGGTGGCCTCAATCAATGTGCTTCCACGAAAAACGCCAGCGTAGAGAAAACAGCATATTTAGAAGCAAAAGGCTCACCGGGTTTTATTGAATTTGTTCCAAGCCGTTCTGCGTTCAATCACCCAGAAACTGTCTCCCTGCAGGCAACGAGAGCTTCTACTAACGAGTGTTTGCTGTACGAAATAGCCCGGCTTGTACTTCCCGAGGGCTGTGCTCGGCGCCTGCCCTGCGCTGGGGCTCCTGCCTCCTCTCCTCCTTGTGCCTCGGTCGTGGGAACCAAACCTCATGCAAAAGGGGAAGAAAAAGGAAGAGGGGAGGAGGAGAAAGGATAAGAAAATGTACCTACTGGGTTCTGCTCTGGTGCCCAGGAGGAAAAACTGCATCCTGCACCGGAGCAGCATCACCTGAGTGATTATCTCCATCTTCCTTGGGATGGAAAGGGAGGTTCTCCACCTGGATGGTCCGAGTTATCCATCCCAGCAGGCAGGGCTGCCTGCCCGTGCCCAAGCTGGGCTGTGTTTTGGGAAGCTTTGAACCCTGCGGTGGCCGGGCATTGAGTAGGCAGCGGGGATTTTTCTCTTGGCAGGAGCCAGGTCTAAATCCTTTCTCTTTGTGGAAAGGAGGCAAGAAAATGCACGTGCTGCTCCTGGGGAGGGGTGTCCGTGCTGTGCCTCTGATGCTGGAGCCAGGAAGCATCAAATCACCTTTTGCTCCTCTCCTTGGGTCTCACTCCCCCTTGGTGCTCTTCTGGCTGGCTCACACTTGCTGTTGGGCTTTGTGCACCCTTCAAAGCCTATCAGTGCTGTGTTTTCTGCGTTTTTGGGGTCTAATCAGGACAAACTTACCAGGCCTGGGCTTTATCTCGCTTGCAGTGGTTAAAAACAGCTCCACGCTGATTTAGAAACATCAGGAGGCAGGAGCTGTTCCTCCCCGGGCACCCTGGAGAGAGCACAGCCAGAGTTTCCCCAAAGCACGTGGGAACACCGCTTCCACCACAAGTTTTGTTGGGGCTGCATTTACTGCCCATATATAACAGATCTGCCTATGTCTCTGCTTCTCTGGGTCCAAATATCACGCTTCCCACCCAGCTGCACCATATTTGTGGAGCTAGGTTTGTATTTGTGCTTTTTTGGGATGTTTCTTGTTTGGCTCCTGTTTGATTTCTGTTTTTTCTTTGTGCTCAAGCGCCCCTTTGGGCCCCAGGGACCATGTCCCAGGATGGCTGGAGGGCAGCACCTGCCCTCTTCCCACTTGCTGGGGGTCCTCTTTGCCCTGTCTCTACCCAGCCACAAGTCTGCTGGCTTTCACGTGGCTTTTTGCTCCTCCAGATGTGCCAGCCTGCGGTGAAAAATGGTGAAATCCTCCGTGAACCCCAGCAGCACATCCAGGTGCTCCCCCCTGCTAAAACACCGGGTGAACGGGGACTGGGGTGGCTCAGAATCGACTGCTGTTCACTCGGAGCTTGGCTGGCTTTCTCGGGAGTTTGGGGAAATTTTTAATAGCGCTGACTATTGATAACCTGTCACTGGGAATTTGCTTAGCGCTTCACGGCGCGAGCGCTAAAAAGCACAAGGTCCTGCTCCCCGGAGCCTTCGGGAACGTCGAGAGAAAGCAAAACCTGAGAGGCAGGAGGGCTGTGGAGAGGAGTGGAGGTGCCAGGGCATGGTCAACCAAAAGCATAGCTGCCAGATTAATGGCCCTTGAAGCTGGAAGCCTCTATTTATCCTCCAGACATGCGTGGCAAGGGAAGGCACCACGTCTGCCGCAGCAAGCCTTGCTCTTCTCAGCCGACGGTGCTGTCGCATCCAGAGGGATGGTTCTGGAGGGCTTCTGTAGGCAAAACCCAGCCCCTGCACGAGGAAAAAGACAGGGAGAGACCTCCAAGTGTCAATCCCCTGCTGATGGTCTGGGAGCTCTCGTGCCTCGGCAGAGGAAGTCAAAGGGAATTTTTCCTTCTGCGTTAATGGTAGCGGGATCGGGCCATTTATCTTTGATGAAATGCCAAGAAAAGGTTGATTGCGTTTGCAGGAGGCAAAAAGGTCTAATAAATAGTGCTTCCTGCTGCCTTCGGCTCCTGCCCTGAGACAGGAGGAGAAGCGAGAGGCGGGAGAGCGGATCTGATAGCCCCGGCGCCTGTGCTCGTCCCTTCCTGCCCTGTAACTGCTGTGACTCTGGCATCTGCCCCAGTCTCAGGACAAGGCTTTGAGGTCTGTCGACACCTCTAAGCCCCAATCCCATCGCGTATTTTCCATGTTTTGCACCCATTTTCAGCCCAACACAGTTAAACCCAATAAATCAGACTGAATTTTGGTTGCGAGCTCCTGGGGCCAGGAAACTATCTTGTACCCTAGGGATGTTTGCTTGTTTTTTTTCTGTTTCTTTTTTTAGTGCCCCTGATCTGGAGGAAATAGATCTGTTTGGGAGACTTGAACAGAAGTGGCAACAGATGCACCGTGTAATAAAAACATGATAGCTGCGGTTGTGCTTTCAGGAGGGGGACAGAGAGGAGGAAAACCTGCAGGCATCTTGAGACAAACCCAAGCAGAATTCGGGAAAGGCAATATTTAATAGCTCAGCAATCACGCTCTCCTTTCCAAGGTGTGTTACCCCTAGCCCTGAGTTAAAGCCAGGTTGTGTTGCGTTTAATACCCATGCTTTTAGCCTACTTTCCTTACTTTCTTGTCATGAGATAGATTTGCCTTTGGAGAACTTTATTTTTCTCTCCGAGTGTCTGTGCTGGCTCAGAAGTGACTCAGGACTTGATCGATACCTCTGGTGGCTGCTGCCGCGGCCACTGATGGGAAGCTGGTGAGAATTATTCAGGTGAAAGCCCCGGAGAAACATCAGTCAGGGTAAGGTCAGGTAGTTTGCTTGTTTTAAATCTTCTTTGTTTTCGGAAATTGCAACAGTGAGAGAGTGCCAGAAAACAGATCTTGGGGAATATCGGGATGGTTTAAATGCGCAATGGAGGAAGGCAGGAATTTATGGCAAGGAAATATGTTATCGGTTAAAAAAAAAAAAGTGCATTTCTAGTAAAATCAGGCTTTGTTTTGGCTTTTCAGAGGGGGAAAGACTGGTTTGGGGCCTTTTGAGGTTCAGATCAGGAGTGCTTCTGTACTCCCCACCAGGACTGTCCTGCCCTCCGACTGTTCTGCTCCCCAGGGAGCCCCTGGGATCTCTCTACCTGGTAGCACCCCGCAGCTTCTCCTGTCTGAGTGATTTCTCCTGGGGTTGGAAGCAATGTGAGCATCCCCTGTAAGTACGATCATGCCTTGGGGTGGCCGGTTTGTTCTGGGAGTGCTGCTGGGTTTGCAGGGTTTGGTTTCTCCACCCCATGTGCGGATGGTGGGAGCTTTATTTGGTGCCTGATTGCTTGGATTTCCACCTCTCCTGGCAGCGTTCCCAAGCTGTGGTCTTGGTCCAAACCTCTCCATCCTGCTCGAGGGCCACATCTGCTTCCCATTCACCCAGGGGAAAAAAGGACAACTCTTGCTGCACCCAGGGTGAGTTTGGGCTGTGCAAATCTAACCCCGTTGCCAAACTTTGTAGGGTAATGAGCAGAGCCCAGCGAACGACACCATGCAAACAACTTGTTAAGTGAATCTTCTCCCTGTTCAGATGGCTTGCATAAAATGAGATGGAGGAGAGGAATAACTCTTTAACGTGCATACATCAGGCAGCATTTTCAACATTTGCCCAGAGGACGTTCATGCCTGGTAGTGCTATTTTCGTGGTGGCTCTTTGCAATGATTAATTTAAAGTGCCAGCATCAGAATCATGGGAACACACAAGAAACTCAGTTTTTCTTTTAAAATAGAAGTGAGTTTTCTTCCTGATGCTGCAGAGAAAAAAAATAAAAATGGAAAGGTCACCCTTAAAGGCATGTAAAACACCCCTCTGCTGCTCGTCTCATCTCATACTTTCCCTTTGGTTTCTTAATTTGGAGAGGAACCCTCTCGCTGGGAGCGCACCATATGGCTGCGGCTCACCAGAACGGAGACGCCGATGTCATCCAACCTTTTGCAGCAGATGCCCCGATTTTCCCCAGCCAGGGCGCTCGATGAGAGCTCTCTGTGATGAAGCTGAGCCCTCGCTTTCTTTCCCCGAGCTCCTCAGGGGCCATCCTTCAGGATGCCTCCTGCCCCATCTTCCCCGTGAGCATCTTCACGTGGAGGCGATGGACCAAACTCCCTCTTGCGTTGGGTGCATCCCATCCCTTAAAAATAACCTCAACTCCTCTCTAAGTAGTGGATACGGTGGTCTCCACTCTGTTCATTGCTTCGCCACCCATGGGGCATGCCTCGGGGCATCTTTCCTTTCACCAGCGTGGTGTTTGGGATGTGCATCCGTGGGTGGCACAGATCTCGTGCGGATAGCGAGCGGAGAGCTCGCGGTTATTTACCAGGAAAGGATAAGCCCCGGCATTTATATAAAACATATTAATAATTTCGCCCTTTCCCTCCGCGTTTACCAAATTGATTTTTGAACTGCTAGCAGTCGTATTGCAATAAATATAGTTGAAATCCATTGCACGTAATGGTTTATAAATTGTGAGTCATAATTCAGCGGGAGCCTTGGGTTTGGTTTGCTGGCTCCCGTCGGTGCATGCGCGGGTGCGTGTTTTCCTTTCTCCAGCCCCTAAGACTGCATAACTCTCCAGTGGAGTAATAAATTGGGAATAATAGAAGCTCGGCTAACTAAATTTCACTTGTCAGGTTGAAGATTTCATGTTGTGCATTAACTGCTTGCAAATAGCACGTGGCAAAAAATAAAAATAAGATAGAATAAACCCCCAGCTCTGCAGTACCAGGCTGTCTGGGTGGGAGGGGAGCCCCAATATTTTGCTCCCCATGGCAGCATCTCTTTATCTCTCCACCAAAATGGGCCTGTGGGGCACCAGGAATAAGCTGCCCCCACCCCAAAGTTTGGTATTGGAGAAGAAGAGTGGTTTGGGTAGAAGGAGCATCCAAAAACTGTGCAGAAGATGCAGAAAGGCTTAGCTCAGGGTTGCTAATATGTGCAAGACACCTTCCTGGCAGCCCAGGACGTGCATCCCTCCTCCATCCCTCCTTCCCCAAAAATGCAGCAGCAAAAGCACAGAAAAAGTCCCCCCTGGGTAAAGAGAGGGAGCCGCAGCTCGGAGCAGCGGCTGGGCAGGAAAATCCATATCTGCTGCAGATTTATTGTCTGTCGCGTGAGATGTAGCACGGATATTTTTAAAACGTGGGCCCATTAAGCTCTCCAAACGGCTGGCTCACCTGCTATTTTAACAACGCGCTGTGACACCGGCTCTTTTATGAGTATTCCTCCTGGACTTGTTAGCTCTACGCTGTCGCATCCCATTCCGAGGGAGGAAAATGCCAGCAGGGTGACCACGCCGAAAGAGCTCGCTGGGTTTTTACGGGGGAACCGAGCCCAGAAATGCAGAGGGAGGTGGGGGAGGAATGGGTAAGTTTGGAATTATGTGCTTAGGTGTTTGTTTTTTGTTTTTGTTTTTTTTTTTATCAGATGCTGGATGGAGGGATGATGGGGCAGGAAGCAAGCAGGAGAAGCCTTCCCTGGGCGCGGGCAGGGCTTTGGAGCACGTCAGTGCTGGCACCCGCTGCTGGAGGAGCTGAGCCAAGGAGGGGAATGACACATCCCAGCACAAACAGCCAGGGGATGACTGCGTGGAGGCGAGGAACGGCAGTGCTTAACCCTTCGGAGATGGTACACGGCAGGGACCAGCTATGGGCAGGTTGGGGAAGGTAGGGAGGAGAGCCAGGTACCGAAAAGAGGTGTGTCGGAGCCCAAATGCAATAATTTGGGCACCAATGCTGGCGAGGGGAGCTGATTTCCCATGCTGTTCCTACACCATGTGCCCCATCGGTGCTGTGCAAGCAGCTTCTGGCTTTCACCTTTAGGGAAGGAAAAAGGAAATTTTGGTCCAAATTCCTGGCAGAGCGTTCTGCTCGCTCTCTGCCTCGCTCCCTTTTTATGTTACAGTCACGGTGGAGATTGGCTTGGAAAACTCACAAAAGTAGCCCAGACGAATAAACACAACTGCCTGGCAGAGATAATCAGTTGCTAAAACATGCCTACTGCTCTGATTAGAAAGGAAATTGGGTTTAAGCTGGAATTAACCTGACGCCCCCCCTTATCCCATCCATCTATCGATCGCTCCCAGCCCTTCTGGACAAATGGGATGGGAAGAGGAAAGGAGACGGCCCCAAAACCTCAATTCCCCCCCCAAGGCAGCACGAGGTGCCTGTGCCAGCCTCCCTGTGCCTGTGTCTGTCTGACTGAGGGTTCGTCTGTCATCTCGTTCACCTGCCCAGCTTGGGTCCTTTGGCAGATTTCTGCTTTTCCTTCCCCTCGTAACGGCATGGTGGCTCTGCTCTCTGTAATTCAACACCAGGAAACCTCACCTTTGCCCCCGCTGCCCTTCTCTGCTCGGTTAGAGGATGGATTGGGACCACAATCTTTGCTCAGAAGCATTTTTGGAGGTGTTTATTTCAGTTCAAGCCCAAGAGATGGCACTGCCAACGTGGGGCATCCCAAGGAAGCCTTGTGCACTTGGAGGTTGTCTGCCCTCTCCAACCTTTGCAGACAGAAAATTTCACAATGGGGCAGCTGTGAGATGGGCAATCTTCATAATTCTGCGTTTTACTTGTTGCTGGGTAATTAATCTGTCACAATTAATTGGCGATCCTTGTTTTCTTTATGACCGCTGGCCGTGCTCATCGTTCACGCCTTCGGGCCTGAGCTGGGTGCCCGGAGCTGACACCCAGGTTATTTTATGGTGATTTATTCTGATTCGGAGCCCTGAGGAGGTGGAGGTTTGATCTTTACTTGTCTGGATCTTTATCTTTCCCCAGCCCTCGTGGGATTTCGGGGGTCCTGCTTGGGTGCTGGGGGATGCTCGGGGTTGCTGCTGTGCACATCGCACGAGGCCAGCCGGGCTGTGCAGGTGCTGCTGGGTTGCAGGGAGACAATAATTCATGTCTCCATTGCTGGGTCACAGCTGAAAGTAACAAATGGCTCCCAAAACTTGTGCAAGTTTCCTTTTATTAATATATCTGGGGCTCCTCCTTTGCCCGCAGGTGTCTGGGCACAATTAGGTCATGCTTTTCCAGCCTAGAAAACGTGAGATTTTCTTCTTGCAAGGAGAAATGAGATTCTCTAAAAGCATCTCTTTCAGAGGGTAACTTTCTCTGCATGGGTCCAATCCTGAAGCCCGCTGGGGACCCCTCTCCATCACCGATCTCACCTTCCTCCTGCAAATCTGCCCCGAAATAGGGATGGTGGGAGCACCGTGGTGCTCCCACTCACCGCTGCATCCCCATCCTGCACGCACCCTGTAAACCAAGATTATTTATTTAAAAAAAAAAAAGCGACCACGTGCACAGGAGGGGAAAATAATCAAGCCGAGGGGAAGGAGGAAAAAAACAACTTGTCCTCGTCTAACATAAAAGCCCTCCTCCCCTCGAAAGAAATAAAAGCCAGAGCGAAATGAAGGTAAATGCCAGAGGTTTAAGTACCACGCTGCCGGGTGTGTTTTAAAGGTTACCTTTCAGGGGGTTGAGGAGAGGCAGAGAGGGAAGGAGCTGGAGCTCTTCCCGTGGCGAGGGCCACTCCAGCGCTTAATGGCTTTTTATATCCCCGTCTGCTTTCCGTGACATTATTAAAATTGTTTATTTTTAATTTTATTTTTTTTTTCCGCCCCTGCATCTGGAGGAAGGGGTCGGGCTGGGGAGGGGAGGGCAAGCTGTTGCCGTGGTGATACCCGGTGTAAATCTGCATCGCGGATTGGGAGGAAAAAGGACATTTTGGGGTGGGTTTTAGGGGAGCTGTGGGTGGGGGCACAGGCAGGCAGGGGCACAATGCCACCTGGGAGGAATGGCATTTTCATCCCTGTCCAGGCTCTTGGGGATGTCAGATGGCCTCGCGGGGACAAATTAGCACCGGGGCTGGGCAGCTGTTGGTGCAACAGCCCTGGTGGGGTATCCAGAGGGGATGGAGGGCTCCCCCCCAGGGCTCTGGTACCCCGACAGATGCTGGGGAGAGGGAACTTGTTCAAACTCCTCAGCTCTCACGCCCCAACCCCGTGTTTTGTTGGCAAACAGGTATTATGGCTATTACGTCTAATAAAATAAACCTAGTCTTTACTCCAAAGCTGCTCCAGGGGCTCTGGTAACTGCTGCTTTGCTATTTTTTTTTTTTTTTCCTCTCCTATTTGATCTGAAAGCCCAGAATAAAAATACAGCAGAGACACGTGGAGGAAAGGAGCCGTCGGGACAAACGGCCATGGGAAATCCTGGAAAGACACCGAAGTCCCGCAGGAGCGAGGCACCCAGGTGGGCTGAGGACAGATCCTGGCACCCCTGCTCCAAACTGGGAAGGTATTTCTGGGGGTTTTCCCGAATATTCAGGTGTGTGCAAGCAGGGTTGAGCATCCCTGCTTACGGACAGCACCGGTGCCTACTCCTGCTGTGCTCAGGGTTGTTTTTTCCCCCAGCTTGCAGCCACGGTTTTGCATGTGAGCACGGCCTGCATCCCATCAGGAGAAGCAGGACGATGAAACCCAGCAGTAATAGCACGAAGCCGGGTACTGGGAGCAGAGTGGAACAACATAAAATGTCCAGCTTGTTTATTTTCCCCCCGTTACTTATCCCAAATGACCCGAATGGATGGATTCCTCTCTGCCAAGGCCGGGCTGAGCTGAGCCCAGGCGTTAAGCTGGGTGGGAAAGACCTGCCAGAGCACGGGTCAGGGAGAAATGCTGAATATATTTATATATCACTGGTGATTTCTGGAGTTCTTCCCATCCCAGACAACCTGACCTTCAGTTTGTTGAACTCCCTCCTGTGACTTGAACAGAGTCACAAGCTGCTCGTCCCTGGAAGCACCAAGACATCCCCCAGGAGGTTTAGCCCCAAGTGCTTTATTTATCTCCCGACCCCGTGCTGTCCTCAGACTGGGAAGGGACTCGGAAAATCCCTCGGGTCTGTGATCCAGGTGTAATTTTTAGCTGGATTTCCCAAGGAAATGGAGCTGGTGGGGTCGTGGCTGTCCGTGTGTGAGCGCCTGGCTGCTGGCCAGTGCCCGTTTCAGCCCTTCTGACCCTATGGCCTGGTTTGGGGCAGTTTGGAGAGGGTTTGAGGTCTTGGAACAGGACAGATCCCACAAGATCTGTAAGCACAGCATTAGTTTAGCATCAGTAGGGAATGCCCTGGTCCCTCAAACCTTGACTTCACTGCCACCTGGGCTTCTTGCGCGCTGGAAATTGCTGCCAGACATTTGCTTGCTCGTACAAAAACCCTACGAGATGAGGGAAAACTGCAGCACGTTGCCACCCGCTCACCACGCAGCGTCCCCAGGCTCCAGGTGGCTTCAGGCAGCAGCAAACAAAACCTCACCAGGACGCCTGGTCCGAGACCCCGGCCCCACCGTCCCGCGCCCTTTCCGGGTCCGTGCTGGCTGTCCCGGTGCTGTTGGCAGGTATATTGCAGGAGGAAACTCGCCTTGGCCTCCGAGAGCACCGGGTGTTGCTCCCAGAGGATGCTCGGGCAGTGACACGCATTGTTAGCGAGGCCGGGCTGCATCAGGGAAAACACGTGGAGTGACACTCAGCCATCGGTGGTGCCTCCCCCTCGCTCGTAACTCTGTCAGCCCTTTCAGCTGGATTGTCAAAATACGTTTGTCACAGAACAATTCCTACCTTTTTTTTTCTTTTTTTTTTTTTTCTTTTTCCCCTTTTCAGACTCTGGCTGAACTCATCCATTTGGAACAAAACCCAATATTCATTTCCTCTCTGGGCAGTTTATTTGATTATTGGCTCACCTGCTCCCAAGCTTGAAAAGCTATAAGACTAGCTGGGTCTTCAAAATTAAATTCTGTTGGGTTTTTGGTGTGTGTGTGTTTTTTTTTTTTTCCCCCTAGTCTCACATATTCCATGGCTGCAGGTTACTGGCAGGGATTTGGAGATGTACTTGGCAAAGGCGCTTTCTGTCTGGGCTGGGGATGAGCAAAACAGGAAGCCTGTTTCTCTCTGAACCAGCATCTTTCCAAGGGCTGGGGCTGTTTTGGAGCAGGACAGGCCTTTAGCTGTGCTTTGGGTGGTGGCGGGGTGGATCTGGGGGCACCCAAACCGTCCCAGCACCCAGAGCGGGTGCACCCAGCACCTCTCATGCTCGGCGCACCCTCCCTGGATGCATAGGGCTGGTGGCAGTGGAGTGAGGACGATTTGCTGGTGGAAAACCTCCTTCTGGCCAGTCCACGTGTGCCACCCCAGTTTCCCTGCCTCCAACACCACAGCTGGCTCACATTTAAGGGCTCAGGAGCTCCCCATGAGCCACTTTGGTGTTAAACTCCCCACCTCTCCACCTGTAGGTGATGCCATCTTCCTTCTACAGCCAGACACGTGAGGCCCAAAGGCAGGAAAAAAACCCTAAATCACAGCTTTCCCTTTCAGGGCCATGTTCCCTGCCTCCTTTGCCTGCACCCTCGGGTTTTGTGCGTGGCTTTTCCGTGGGAACCCTGCCCGAGATGCTCGCTCCCTGCAGACGCCGGCGGCGGTGCGGGAGCCAGGAGCTGACCTCACCATTTCTCAGCAGGAAACCAGTCGCCAGCAACTGCTGTTCCCGCTGACCTCATGCCGTGGGAGACCTGTCCCGTCTCACCTGGAAACTGCCAGCAGCCAGACAAAAGCTGCTTTTACCCGGAGAGCTATTTCCAGCCTGGATGCGTGTCACACCAGGGAGCTTATTCCTTGGTCCCACGGTGTGGCCGCGTGGGCTCCCCGGGATGGGAGCACCCCGAGCATCCCCAGCACCACGGGATGCATCCAGACCCGCCTGCCTGCCACGTGTTGGAACAAGAAAAGCAATCACGGCTGAAAATGAGAGGAAGGGGAGGTGTGAAGGAAAGGCTGGTGGGTGCCAGACAGGCTCCCCCTGCGGTGTCCCCCTCTCCAACCCTGCACAGGGCAGTGGGAGAAGCAGACGGGGCTTTTTTATTCATTTTGGGGCAAGAGGAGGCAATTTCCTCCCTGTGAGCACCTGGAGGGCGCAGCTGATGAGCAGGGCTCTTCCAGCCGTGCAAAGCTCAGGAGGGTTTTTTTTATCCGGGGCTGCTCCATTAACGCAAACAGACAGCGACGCTGGCTGCTGACACCGGGGTTAATTAAATCCATCTCTCCATCAATTCTTATTCAACTATTATCGATGGTCATTAGATCAGCGACAAAGTGACAAGCAAACAGTAATAGACTCATCTTAACCCTTGTGGTGCTGGAGAAGGGCAGCGGGATGAGGAGCGGGGGGGCTGCTGGTGGTAGTTGATGGTTACGGGGCTGCTCGCCCCTCTCCGGGATGTGCTGCTGGGTTTTGTAGGGTTTGGGCTTCTTTCTTCGTGCAGCTCTTTACGTTGGCTGCTAACACCTGCAGGAGCCACCAGGTGCTTGAGAGCAGCTGAAGAGATGCTTGCAAGGTAGAGGAACCACTCGTTCCTTGGGGAAAAAGCAAGCATGAAACAAATGGGCAGAGAAACTAAGGCAGGACACCCCGAGGCATGGAGCCGGAGAGGGACCTGCTGGGTGCTCAGGATCCGGCCTTGCTCGGTGTTTTGAACTGTGTGTGTCACTTACTGTTTGCAAAATAATTGCCACCCTCATTTGGGGAGGGAAATAATTACTTCCTTCGTGACACAAAGTCAATTTTGGTCCTGAACCGGAGGGACAGGCTGACAGAGGGAATTTCAGAGCGAGCGAAAACGAGGCTGGCATTTGGAGGCTGCAGTTAAAGACACCGGGGGGGTTCTCGCCCTTCTGCTTTTGCACATCAGATCAGAGAACTTGTAAGATGGGCTGGCTGCTCCTCTTCAGGCAAAGGCCTGCCTTAACTTTTCTACTTTTTGCCCAAATATTCAAAGATGCACTTTTTTCCCCCTGTTTGCCATAGGAACAAGGTCATTTAATGGGGTCCCTTGGAGAGCTCCACCATGGGAACATGGCCACGACATAAAAAATGCTCCCAGGAGCAGGGATCCTGCACCAGGGACACAAAAAATAATACTAAAAAAAATAAAAATAAAAAATAAATCATCAGGTGGTGCCTTTGGGAGGGTTTCTTTGCCCCAGAGCAGCCCCGGCTAAGTGGCAGTGGGTCCCCCCCGAGGGCCGCGCGCGTCCCCGGAGCAAGGGGGAGGCCGAGATCCAGCCCGGCTAATTGATGCTGAATTCTGTGTATATATATATTAAAAAAAAAAAAAAAAAAAAAAAAGGAAAGCGAAGCGGGTGGTTCTGTAAACATATCTATTTTTCACAATCCGCACCAAACTGATTGAAGCCGGTGTCAGGGGTGATATATGGTAGCAAATTGATGAAACATTGATGCCGGGGGATGAATATTTCAGGAGGAGCTGTATACATCGTCCGGCGCTCTTCTTAAATCTTTAACCAGCGCTGGGTAACCTTGAGAGGGGTGTTTGTAAGTTTATTCATGGCGAGGCGCCACAGATAAAGAGCAAGGGCGAAGGGACCTGAATTTGGCTTTTTGCTTTGCTTGGGGTGCTTGTTTGGTGCCAGGCATCTCCGCCGTGCCTGGAGCAGGCACCAAGCAGGGGACCAGCACTTCTTGGTGACATTCAGAAGGTGCCCTGGGCTCTCTGTGTTCACATCTCTGAAACCTGCTTGTTTATTTTGGAAATGAGCGGCACTTGAGGTTTTTTTTAGTAAAACCTCTAAGAAAAAGTTTTATTTTTTTTGCGTGGAAGCAGCAACACTGGGAGGATGCGGTTCGGAGGGGGTTATTTGTTTTATTTCCAGGGTGGGGAGAGAGAGGAAAGGTTGTGCTGGTTATTTTTTTGCTCGTTTTGAGGAACTGTTTTGACTTTTCCTGAACAAAACCCATGTTATTGTAGCACAGGGAGCGCCTTCCCGTGCGCAGGACCTCCTGCCGCGCCAGCACCGTGCCTCCTGCCCAGGACAGCACACACCACGCACAGGGAAACCTCTCCTAGCTACACCAGCTCGTAGCACTTCCCAGCCTTTGGGTGCTTTTCTTCATCCCCTTCCACGCTGAAAGCTGCAGATCGAGCCCCCGAGGCACTCACGTAGCGCCGAGGAGTCCCTGCTCTGCGCCTTTTGGTAAGGCGCGTTTGCTGTTTTGCAGTGCTCAAACACCATCTGCTGTTGTGTGCAGTGGCACTTTCACACCGGGGGGGGGCATTTTTAAGTTTAAATCACTCCTTAAAGAAGAAATTTACAGGACTGGGGGCGGCTGGGGAAATCCCACAGCGGATGCTGAAAGGACCACGGCCAGGACCTGCGGTGCCCATCCTCATCCCATGGGCACCGAATTTCTCATCCTCCCACCGGGCAGAGCATCTCCCACCCCTGCTCGCTGGCAGCCCCAGGGACAATGGGCAACCGAGGTCCTTCCACAGCACTTAACTCAAAGCCCTGTTTAATGGGGCTGAAAAAAAACCCAAGCCCTGATGGAGCACGGGCAGCATCGCGCCGCAGAGGCCACTTGTGCCGGTGACAACGCGGCGGTGCCGCCGCTGTGACATGTGTAATTTGTGGAGGAGCGTGGCAGAGCAAAGCGACAGCAAACACAGTGAAGAAAGTTCGGCCGTGACTTGTAGTGCTTAAACAAATACAATTAAAATAATTGGTGGCTGCTCTCCTGTTTCTAGGCCAGGAGCAACACTAGGATGTAACGGCTGCAGCGGCACGGCCCCGTGTGGGCGCAGCATTCATTTGGTGCCCCGTTTCCAGATATTGCCTCGTTTGGTCTAGAAACTTTAATTTTTATGGGGCCAAGGATGTCACTGTCCCAATCACACGAAGGTTGGGGAGTGGGTTCTGCAAGCAGTGTGTGGGTGCCCTGTCCCCAGGGTCCCCCCCGTCACCTCCTTGCATGGAGCATCTCCAGACTTCTGCCAAGCAAAGCAACCCATGGTCCATTCATTTATTTATTTTGATGTCTCTTGGCTTCTTTTTTCCCTCCCTTTTTTCCGTTTTCTCCTTTTTTTTTTGCTGTTCTAGCTTCTTGCTGGCAACAGCAGGCGCTGTATTTTGACGAGTTAATAAACAACTCCCCTGGGAGTCAGGGAGCTGCGGCGTGCTCCGCCTCACCACGCCGTACGTCTGCCGGGCAGAGTTTGCAGAGCACTGAGAGGCTTTTCTCCCCCCTAATCCGAAAACTCAGCCTCTCACCTCACAGCCTTCCCCACCTGCCTGGCCTCTGCGGCGCTGGGGATGCTCCTGTGTCGTCACAACCTGCTTATCAGCCTTCCAGACCAAAAAAAACGAGACTTCTTTATAATTTCAGAGAGCAGCAGCGATGCAGCCCTTGGGACAGATGGCCACAGCCCCAAAACCTGCCATTTTTGGGGTGCCCCTTGCTGTTGAGTGCACCTAGAGCCAACCACTGCCTTTTGGGAAGAAATGCCATTTGGGACGTGAAGATGGCGAGCAGTCCGGGGAGCCACACTGCAGGTTTGAACTTGTAGAACATTACTGCTCGTGAATTATGGATAGTGATTGCACCTCCTGGACGATAAATTATTGAGCTGACATGCTGGAGGGAGACCACACGCTGGTGCCCTGCGGAGGGGGGGGGATGTTTGGCTCCCCCTGCTCCTCCCGAAGCTGCGGGAGCCCACCCGGTGCCACCGAGTCCCCCACGAGGGCAGCCACGGGTGACAGCCCCAGCTGGCGGGGGAAATTTTGGCTCAGCCCTTGGTGCAGACCCGTTGGACATGGAGCTCCTGGCTCGCTGGGGCTGCTCACACCTCTCCAATGCACGGAGCTGGGTGTCCCCCTGTCCACCCCGGTGCCCGCTGTGCCCCTCTCTGCCCAGCCTGGGCATGTCTGAGGTCCAGCAACCTCCTTCTTGCCCTCGAGAGCATTTGGGAACGGCTTATTCCCATCCCTGGAGGTGCTTGAGGCCGGGCTGGATGGGGTTTTGGACAGCCTGACCTAGTGGGAGGGGGTTGGAATTAGGGGACCTTTAGGGTCCCTTCCAAAAACCCCCTCTCTGTGGTTATCTAGGTGACGAGGCATGGTGTGTATTTCCCTCGCAGGCATCCAGCATCCCTGGCTGGGGCTGGCAGGCTGGCCTGACGTCTGCCCCAGGCCTAGGGCTCCCTGGGGTGACCCCTCCATCACGTTTAACGCCCCGTGACAGCCCCGTGCCCCTCCAGGGTGCCTAAATGCTTTCTGGGGCCCGTTCAGGCCGGAGGTCTCCATAGCACCCCGTGGCAACGAGGTCCCTAATTCGATCACGGGTGGTGCGGGTGAAGCGCTGCCTTTTGTTTGTCCTTAAATCTGTGGCTGGCTAACGAGATTTGGGCACTCCTCGTTCCTGCGACGGGAGAAATGGGGAATTATCACCGCCTCTGCACCTGCTCCACGGTGCTGATGCTGTTACACGGGCCCGCTGCTCCTGAGACCCGAGCAGCTCGGCGCACCCCAGGACCCGCTGGGAGCGCTGGGGCTCGGGCTGAGCCGCGCGCCCCGGGGATTTCGAGGCAAAGCAGGGGCAGCAGCAAACACCTGGGAGGGAAAACAGCCCTCGTGCCTTAATGATAAGTTTGCCTGGCCGTATTTTTCCCTCCGGTTGCGAAAGAGCGGTCGGCTACCCATTAATTTGCGTCGCTTTAATTCATATTTTGAATACCAGACGATGACTTCAACGCCACCGAGCTTAACCCCGTGTGCGTCCCGGCCCCCGCCAGGCGAGCCAGATTCGGGGCTTTTATGGTGATAGCAGCTGGCAAAGGAGATTTTGGTGTCGCTCCCCAGCCTTTTCCAGCACGTCGCCTGGCTCTGAACATAGGGGACGGAGGGCTGCGGGGCAGGGGATGCACCGCCGGGTCCCACCCTATGGGTGCCACCCTATGGGTGCCACCCCCCTAGGGTGCCAGCCTCCATCCTGGAGGGTGCCGGTGCCAAACCCCAGGCCTGGCCGCTGTAATTCCTCCCTGCCAGGGTCCCTTCTCCCCCCAGCCCCTAAACCTTGCGGCTGCCGGCAGTGAAACCCGCTCGGCAGCTCCCTCCCTCCCTCCCTCCCTCTCCCCGCGCAGCGCGGTTCCTGCTGCCCCCCTGCGCCTCGCACCCTCCTTGCAGCCCCCCCTCGTTCCGCCGCAGGGAAGGGCTCACATCCCCCAAATCCTCGCCCGGAGAAGTTTGCAAACCCATAAACTCGGGTTTGGCAAGAGGGGGGGCTCCCAGGTTCCGAGGAGGGCACCTCCCCTGTGCGTTTTATTTTTTTTATTATTATTTTATATACATTTTTGGAGCGGTCGGGGTGCTGGAGGTGGCCACTTTGCGGGTCCCTTCCACCTGAATTCTTTTACGCTGCCTCCTCGTGGCTCTAGGAGCCGGGGGGAGGGGGGGGGCAAAAAAAAAAAAAAAATCGGGGCCCCGCGCAGCAAAATCTCTACCCAAAAACCCCGAAATTTGGAGTGGGTTTCGGCACCCTTGGAGAGGGAAGGGGGGGTTGAGGATGGGAGCAGCTCATCGCAGGCTGCTGGGGGGGGCAAAGAGGGGGCCGTGGGGGGGTGGTGGCGGGGTTAAGCCCCTCCCATGGCCCTCCCCCTCCCGCCCCCTCCCGCCCCCTGCCCGCCCCTCCCGGCTCCGGGCAGCCCGGCAGAGCGGCGAGGCGGGCGCGCAGGGCGGCTGTGCGCTGGGCGCTGCGCTCCGCCATGCAGCCCCCGGGACCCCCCCGCCGCATCTTCATCCTCCTCCTCCTCCTCCTCCTCTTCCTCCTGCACCGCCGCTGGGCGCTGGCCGCCGCAGGTAAGTTGTTTTTTTTTGGCTATGTTTTGGGGTGAGGGGAAGTTTTTTGGGGAGGGCGCATCCCCGCGGCGGAGCGCAGAGGGCTGCGCCTCCCCCCCTCGTTTTTTTGGGGTGAAAAGGATGAGAAACGGGGGGCACCGAGCATCCCTTCCCCGGACTCCCCCCCTGCACCCCCAGGGCTCGGGGAGCCTCGGGAAGGGCTCGGGGCTGCTCCTCTGCCCCCCCCCCCTCGGTTTTCTGCTTTTGGTTTTACTGCGCCGTTTTTTTTGTTTTTCTTTTTTTTTTTTCTTTCTTTTTTTTTTTTTTCCTTGCCGTCTGGGAAGAGCAAAACAAACCCATCCCTGTTTATAACACCGTGGGCTGTAATTTCCCAGCGGGTCAAATAAGTAATTACTCAGGCTGGATATTTTCATTTTTTTTTTATCTGCGTTCTTCTAAAAACCCAGTTCTGGATGGCCGGGCAGCTCGGCGATCTCTTTTTTTTTCCTTATTTATTTATTTATTTATTTACTTAATTTTTTCCGCTATGGCTCTTCAAAGTTTCCTGTGCGGCCCCGAATCTTGTGATTGAGATGCTCTTAAAATCCTGCCCTTCCGTCGTAATCCCTGCCACGGACGAGAAGATAACCAGAGGCACGGCCCTCCCGCTGCCCGCTCGCGTTGGGGCTCCCATCATCATCCAGTTCAGCCTCGTGCTGTAAAAATATATGGGAATTATTCATGCTCCCCCTTTTCCCCGCAAACGACACCTCGGATGCTGCTCCGTCCTGCGGCAGCGGGTTGCTCCTCCGTGTCCAGACGCAGAAAGTCATCCTCTGGTGCTCGGATGTGGCACCCCGAAAAGTTGGAGGCTGGGGAGGTCGTAGCCATACGTACGGGACCCTCCTGCCCCGGGCACGGTCGTAATCCTGGGGGAAACTTATGGGGAGAGCATCCCGCTGGCTGCTCGCTGAAAGCGTCCCCTTGCCAAGCTGCTTTTCTAGGAAAATGAGCCCAGCCTTCCTTTCTGAAGCCTAATTAAGGCGACGAGGAATTTTGGGGAGGGAGTTTCATCAGATTATTATTTATTATTATTATTTTTTTTTTTGTCCGCCCCCGCCGTGCAAAGATCCTACCCGGTTCTTCCTCTGGCATCTCCGGGGGCCTGGCCGTGGCGGTGCAGGGCAATCTTCTCCCTCACGGACAGGCCGAGGGGTTGGGGGGGCTCGGTGGCTGCTGGGGACACGGGGGGGGACATCAGCACCCCCCTGCCCGGCTCCTTGCTCTTGGCTTTTGCATGCCCGCGAGATGAGAGGGAGGGAACGAAGAAGGAAAAACGAGTTGAGCCTGACCAGGGGGATGCGGGGAGCTTCCCGGCGTGCCTGTACGGGATCGCAGCGAGTTGCCTCTCCTTTCCCTTTAGCTCCTCTGTGCCTGCTGCAGAGCCTGGCTTAAAACACCCAGGACAACGGGGGTGCTGTGGGGTGCAGTAGGGATGGCTGCATGGTGGGCACGCTGCCCTCCTGCCCCTCTTCTGGACCAAATATCTGGGGAGATTGGGGTCTGCTTGGGATCCCCTTGGGGTTCCCAACACCTGGGGAGACAGGGGGGGGGGGGGATTGGTGACAGTGCTGGTTCTGTGCCCCCTGCATCGTCCCCACGGGTGGCAGGGGAGCAGCCTGGGACCTGTTGCTCTCCATCCTGGTGTCCCAGGAGCTGGAGGACAGCCGTGTCCTTGAGCTCCTGCAGCGCGAGGTCCTGCGGGTGCCCCGTGCCAGCAGGAAGCGCGGGGTGGCGAGGGGCAGGCAGGAGGGCTCGATGGAGTCTCGAGGAGTTCATTACAGCAGGCATCAAGGCCATAAAGCCCCAGGTCCCTGCTGGGCCTTATTCACTTGTATTCCCCCAGATTTAGCGATGCTAATAAGGGGGGAAGCGTTTCCCTGCGCTCCCACCTGCGTCTTGCTTTCCTCGCCCTTTTGGCCAGAGGTGGCTGCTCCTGCTGGTGCCCCCGGCTGCCCCGTGGCCTTTCGAGGCCCGTCGCCTCTGCTTTTTGGTGTGCCTCGCCGTGCCGAGCTGTAATTTGCTGTAATCACTCGGATTGTGCAAGCCAGCCCTGCTCGTGAGTCAGCGCTCGGGGTGGGCCCTTGCACTAGGGGTGCTGGGGATCTGGGGCTGAAAATCCCGGCCCTGCTGGTACAAAGGGACCTCAAGGGATGCTGTGTGGGATGCTTCACCCCAAACCCAGAGCTCTTTCCCCTTGTGGCACCGCAGGAGGGCTGAATGGAGCGCTTTGGGGTGATGTGGCTCCTGGGATCCAGCTGGAAGAAACAAATCCTGACCCACCGAGGGCTCGCATTAACGCACAGCTTTGGGGAAGAAAACCCCAAAAATCCACCTAGCTGTCCCCAGGCTTGTGTGGCACTTGACATTTTACAACTGAGGCTGTTTCGGAGCTGGGCTTGGCTTCTACTTGTGCGCTGGAGCCCCAGCCCGGGGGGCGATGCTGCCCCCGAGGGTTTTATCCGAATTCTGGTCCTGTGCGGGGAGCCGGGGCCGTGGTAGGAGGCGAGCGAAGCATCCCGGCCGCGCCAGGATTATTTTTGAAGCCTCCTGGTTTTTCGGAGCCCTGACTCACGGCACAGGAATGCGCTGGGCTGGCAGCCCCGGACCTGCTCCTTGGGAGCGCGGCGGGGAAGCACGAGCAGCCCTCTCCTCCTCCGAAACCGCCGGGCTGGGAGCAGCCGCGGCTTTGCTGAGCTTGGGCTTTTCGGGGGATTTTTGTCTCTGCTCTTTGTTTTGAGCTTAAAAAGGAAAAGAAAAAAAAAAAAGAAAAGAAAATCTGGGGAGTTGGGAGCAGGGGGTTGGCGAGGCACTGTCGGGGTGCCCTTGGAGGGGAGGGAAGGGCAGCGTGAACCCCGACATCGAACAGGAGCCGGGCTGGGAAAGGCAGCGTGAAGCACTGCTTGGGAAGCAGGGATTATTTAGCACGGGGCTTGCTCTGGCGTGTCCTGCATGCTGGCTTTCATCTCCTGCAAGTGCCTCCTCGCTCCGAGGGACCCCCCTGCTCTGACCTGGGTCTTCTCCGAGACCCTCTGGGTTTTGGGGTGCTGTTGCCTTGCTGCGGGGAGGAGGAATTAGCAGCTCCCCAAGCCCGCTGGGGAGGTTCGGAGGGGTGCGATGGAGAGCTGCACATCAGGGCTGCCTCCTCCAGCAGCCCCAAACGGAGCCCAAAATCTCGGGACCGGGATTTGTGTGGATTGGAATATCAATGGGGAGGCAGAGCGGGGCTCGCCCCGGCCGGATGGGGCTGGGATAATCACCCTGGGATTTGAGAAGCAAATGTTTGGAGCCACTTTGCTTCCTCGTAGCTTGGAGAGGTGCTTTAGCTTCTGTTATGGAGCAAGAAAAAAGGGATTGCCCCCATTTTCTGCCCCAGTATGGCTGGGAAGAAGGCGCTAGGTTGCCTGCCCTGCCTCCAAGCACGGGCTGTCCCCAGGCGTTACCAAACCCTCACCCATCCGGACACAAAGCTGGTCCTGGCACCTCTCGTGCTTGCTGGTGGTCCCGCTGGTATGGCTCTGTGCGGGTCCCTCGGGTCACCTCGCCTCCCCTTCTTGCCAAGCCTGAAGCCGAGCGATTGTTTTCCTTTGAAAGAGCGTGGAAAATCTCATTTTGGGGTGTTAAACGTGTGTGGGGCAAGCTGCAGCAGTTTGGAGGAGAGGTGAGGACCTCTGGGTGCGATGAGCTTTGTGCTCCTTTGGGAGCGATGCTGTGGGCAGCATCCTTGAGCTTTATGGTTTTGTTTTTGATGGGTTTATGTTGTTTGAAAGAGTAAAAATCCCCTTATGTATAGCTGGAGAAATGTGCTTGGTGTTGATGTTACTGAAGACAGGTGGAGGACCACTTGGGGATGCTTTTGCTCGCCGGAGGGGTGGATGCAGCACCCCTCAATGTAGCTGCGCCTGAGTAGGATTTGCTTTGCTAAAATGAGGACCAGAGGGGGTTCTGAGCAGGCAGGGATGGCTCGTGGAAGTCACGGCGCTGCTTACCATCGAGCATCCCTCCCCGTTAAAGTTTTATGGGGACTGACACGGTGACTTGTTAAATGATGCGAGGGAGCTCAGCGAGCTCTTCTCCACCCTGCTGGCACCTGGTGAGGCGTCTGCGGCACATTTCTCCTCCCTGCGAGCTGCCAGCCTGGAAATTATCCCCGATGACCCCCTCGTCGCCGCCTGGCAGCCTGAAATTGCTCGTCCTGCAACCCGGTTGGGAGGAGGAGGAGATGTTGTAGGACAAGAACCGGGCTTCCCGGCCGGGCGGCTGGCGGGGGTGGCTGTGGGCGGCGATGAAAGGGGTTGCGATGCCTCGGGTGGCGTGGGAGCTTTCCTTGGGCGGGAGCTTAGGGAGCCCAGGGGTTCTTCAGGACGGATTTAAAACAGGAGGAGGGACACGCCTGGGGTGCATTGGGGTGGTGCTGTCTGCTCCTGGCCTCAACGCTGAGGTTTGGGGTTGGGTCATTGCCGGTGCCGTGGGCGCACGCACCCCGCAGCAGACGAAGCCCTCCGAGTGCCTCTCCCCCATCCCTAGCAGCACGTGCTTTATGCCAAAGAGTGACTTCTGCAGGCGTGTTCAAAGGGTGTAGGGCCTTCCCCTGCCCTCCCCATCGGTTAGGGGCAGGATGTATTTTCGTGGTCACTCAGGAGCAAAATGGATCCAACCCAACGCCACACAGAAGCCGCAAGCCCCCCTGGAGACCTCACCGTCGCCCTTCTGGGTGCTGCCACCCCGTGCTTGTGCTGGAATGGTATTTGGAAGGTTTCTCCTTTTGGAACAAAGCAAGGAAAGCTTGAAAACCCTTCATTTTGCTGCGTGCCACCAGGAAACGTGGTGGTGCGGAGGGATGGCTGAGCACCAGAGGCTGTGAAACTCCCCCTTTTTCTCCACGTGTGCCTGTGCTGGGTGAATTTCTGCTGGTGAGCGGACAGCCTGCGCTCTGCTGGGGTGAAGCAAGAAAGGCTTTT